ACCATCTGAGCACAATTTAGGACAGAAGCACTTCACAAGATAAAAGTTTCTGTTCTCTGCCACATTCCTGATCTGTTCTGAGAAATACAAGGGTTATGTCAATCCAGCAACTGATCCACAGGTCGGAATTAAGAGCTGGTATGAAAACCCGTGTGTTTGTTTTTACTAGTGCTTTTACAGCCACTGTTATTAAACACCCAAGAAAAAAGGAGTATGAAACAGAAGAACTAACAAGTTTGTGACAATTTATGGATATAAAATTATTCTTAGAAGTTATCATAAAAACATGCATAAGCCTACTTCTTCTTGGAAGCATTTATATCACTGAATTCCAATTTGACTAATGATTTAATTAAAACTTGTACAGTAATATTCACTTAGAATAGTCTAAAAAAACAGCAATTCTATCCAGACATAGAAGACTTTTCCCAATACAGTGTGATCTGGCACTCTGTGGAGGTTGAGCAATCTGTAATTAAGTTAAATGAGACTTGTATGGGAATACTAAGAAAATTAAGACTATCCTACAGCATGGGAATTATTTGTCAGAGAACATTATCCTTTTACTATCTTTCTATCATTAAGATGTAAAATTTAATTTTTAAAAAGGGATAGACTTTGCTTGTGTTACAGCCACTTGTTAGCTGTACAGCTCACCTTTGGACCTTGCATTGGGATGCAACTAAATTTAGTCATTAGTATACAACTTTTTTTTTTTTTCCTTACATCACTCCTCTGCTTTATTTCCTCCACCACTCCAGTCCTTAGCTGAAGCTTTAAACACAGCAAGGACAGCAAATGATACAGTAGCATTTTGAAGCAGGCAGTAGCTCTGAAAAAGAAAGGAAACCAGTGCTGGTCTGGATCCAGTGCAGGAAGAAGGAACACTCTCTTATGAATATTTCATAGAAATAGTGACAGAGCTTCAGCTTTGAAAAATATTCTCCAAATTCTGATGTCTTCCTATGAATCTCCTTCCAATCTTTGAAATCTATTCAAGATTTCAAAAACATGTTCTCTCTTCAATAGGAAAGACCTGCAGCTAAGAGTTGCTTCACTGGTATTCTCGGGAACCTTCCCACTGCTTCCCCGGCTACCACATTATCTTTCCCCAGTTAACCTATATTCCACTTGTGTAAGATAAACACACCTCTCACTGTGCCTGTTACATTCCCCATTCCACCTCCTTCTCAAGCGTAGGACTCCTGAAAAATAGCTAGAAATTTCAGCCTCTTGTTCTTCCTGTGAAAAAGGTGAGTTTAAGCTGTAGAAGAAGCTGGGAGCAAACACCCAGGCTCCAGCTTTCCAGATGCAGAAATGTGCCTGTTCCCACGAGAGACAGAGCTTGAACTCTGTCCAAACCCCAGAAGCTTAAAACACATGAGTATCTATCTGCCTGTCCATGACAGCACTAAGAGACAGAAAATTTGCAGTTATCACTTACTACAGCCCCACTGCCAGTAGAATAACAAATCACATCACGAGAGTTCTATGAATGGTAGGGCTACTTTAACAAAATCCAAAAATACAGATTTTTGTCCAGTCCTCAGTTATGCAAAAGAAAGTCAAACATGTACCCTTCTCTGAGTCATTATAGATTTCCCTATGCAATTCCAGTCCCTAACCCCAACACAAAAGAAACAGTAAGGTGGCTAAAATAGCAGCATGCTATTTTAAGTAAATTTAAAATATTTTAAACAGCATGTTTCTACTCCCATGCTAACAATTATTAAAGTACCTCCATCTACAAGAGAAAAAAAAAAATGGCACCAAAAAATGCAGCAGTTCTTACTTCTCAGCAGGCAGTGGTTTTGAAGTCAGAAACTTTGAGATAAATAAAAAAAGAAGTTATAGCAATGCATTTTTCCTAGTTTCTGGATCTCTGTGAAGCATCACTCCCTTGTAACCCATATCTGATCTCCAAAGTCTAATCATTGTAGCATTAAGTCTTTTGATCACTTGTTTTTATAGAGAGAAGCAGAGAAGAGCTTTAAAACTTGCTTGTAGGTGAAATCCAAGTCAGCACTATGTGCAATGCTAAAGTCAGGGAAAATCTGCCTCGCAGATAATACTCTAACCCTGAGAAGATAGGAGGGAGAAAAGGAAAAAAGTATATTGAAAAAATAAGAGAGAAATCTTGTCAAAAGAAAGGTTTCTAGGACCAGGTAAGAAGGACATTGCTTCAAGTACAGCACACTTCTGGAGTAAGAGGCAGAGTCAGCAGTGGTCTCACCTGAAGCACATAAATTCCCAGCATTTTATTTTCTGGACTGGTAAGCTTAAAACTACAGAAGATAAAAATTCTCTATTTGCTCTATAGCTTATGAAATGGAGAATTAAGAGTGCTTCACTAACAAACAGGTCAAGTGAAAAGTGACCTAGTCTGATTTTAGATGTAGACTTGTAACACAGAACTAAGAAAAATATTTTTGTTTTCTTCAGCATTTCTACTTGATACTAAATGGACCCCCAGCTAATTAATACGTATAGCTGGCTGTACCAACCAAAATGCACCCATACTCCAGTATCCTATGCCAAGGTTCTGTAACTCATCGGTCTTCTAAGAAAAATGCAAGAACCCTCCTCCTGCTATTTGAAACAATCATTTGTCTGGCTCCTCAGTTACATATGCCCACCACCCCTCAGTCAAGGAAATCCTCTCATTTTCTTGTATAATGAGCCTAGGAACCAGAATAAAGCCACAGCAGCAGCTGGTCACAATGCAAGAATAGAAGAACACCTCTAGAGAGACGCTTCCCCTTCTAAGCACTTCCTGCTTCTAAAGTTGCATGTTAGATCTTCTGCAACAAGAGGCATCTTTGTATTCAATAAACTCCCATTCACTTAGTCAAGACTTTCTAGTAACATTTTGTCTTTCAAATACTTTTCAAATCTATATATACTTTTGGCATTCAAAGCATCCCATAATAACCTTCAGTTTTCATTCATCTCCTTTTATTTTCAACCTGTTTTCAGCTCATTTTCTTTGAGGCTACCCCATACCAATATTATGAACAACAGCTAGGAGTTATTTGCTATTCAGCCACTCCAGAGCACTTTTTAACACTGTACTTCCCTGATTTGCCCTGTTCCTTCCCATCATCAGCAAAAAAGATTCCAGTGTAAGTCAAGTTTCACCGCACAGAGTACAGAACAATAACAAAAGTGATAACTCCTAAAATTCTATTTGCTTTTTTTGGGCCACTGCTACTTCCTGGACATTTTCACCATTGTAACACCAATATCTTTCTCTTGACATACTAATTAATTCAGAGCCTATCAAAATATGTACCTAACTACTCCTACTGCAGGAGCTCAACATGGAGAGGCAGTATGAAAAACTCTGAACATAAATTATTGTTAAGTGCAACAGTTTTTACCTAAGGGAGAAAAATTATCCAAACGTCACTTACACAAAGATCAGGTTCAACTCAATTACTGCCACTCTGGAATTATATTTTGGTATTAAAATAGAGTCCTCAACAGAATTATTTATCAGGAGCAGGCAAAACAAGAAAGACAAATACAGTATTAAAAAAATATTAGCAAACAAATAAAGAGTAGAAGTATGCCATTGCACAAGTCTCTGATATCATCTATAGTGAACAGGAGTTCTACTACCTCATCATAATACACTGTAGATGTTAATCATATAAATGAGTTGAAGAAGTGACAGAACACTTATTGAGGAATAATTCATTGATGGCAAGTGAGTATAAAACATATCCAACTTTAACCAGCACAGGAAGTCCCTGAGCTACAAATTAAGAGCACCTGTAAGAGTATTCTGACCAGAGATGCACCTTTGTGAACAGTACTGGACCACAGCTATATAAAAACCATATTTAATTGTCATGCATAAGAAGCGAAAGAGTACCGAAACACTGAAGTTACTTATTCTCCTTCAAAAAGGGTTTTAATTACACCATAATTGCTTCCTGACAAGTCCACATCAATCAAAAAGAAGAAAAAAAAAAAAAGTTGGTTTTATTTTACTTCACACACTTCAATGAATGCCAGTCTCCTCAAAATACCATCCATCTTTTCAAATTCCAACTTTCAAAGATACTCAGGATCATGACTTTGACTGCAGTTAACATAAGATTGATACTCTCAATATCTTGGGGCAGGGGGGAATCTTTTCTGCTTGAAGTTATATGCAATTTTTTTTAATATAGCAAACAATTAGTCATGAGGAAAGCAATCATTTTCATTCCTGTAAACATATCAATAGAAGTGTTTAAATGACTGAAAAGCAGGATTTATTTTTCTTTTAGTGACTCAGTATTAACACCAAAATAATACATTAAATAAATACAATAATAATTTATTTCTAATAGGGGGGTTTGTTTGTTAGTTTCTAATACCTTCCACTTTCAAAGTGCATTGTAATTCAAACAGATTCATGTCATTTCTACTTGGAGGCAGGGGACATCCCCAACCCATTATTCAACTGTTTTTCAAGTCCAAACGTTTTTTTACCTCTTCAAAGTACTTATCTGTTTGAGGACAAAAATTCTGATATCACTTCCAAAGAGAAATAATATAAATATTCATATAATGATCTCTTTCAGATTTGCTAAAGAAGTTGAAGACTGACCACTGCTAACATCTACCTGAAGCTTCTATAATAAGAGCCATTAAATCTTATAAAATGAAATAAAAATAGTATCAGTTAACATTTTTAAATACTGATCAGGTCATCACACAGGTTTTTATTAATAACCTGTTGATCCAGCCACTGAATTAACCATGTATTGACAGCATCTGAAATGCACTTAATTAATTTCTCATAAATAGGACAATGTTTATTTATTAAGATTGCCCAACTGACTTAAAGTCTGCTCCAGATAGTGACAAATGACAACTTGCTGCTTTTATTCATAAACCTCTAAACATCAACCCACTAACTACAGCAGCCAGTTGATCATTCAGATCATTCTCTTCGTCACCTACACCACTTAAAACATAACAGTTACTTCTCCCTCTTAATTATTTACCTTAGAATTACCTTCCTTGTGATGTTTGGCACAGGACCGAAGCTGAGTTATCCAGTATTGTTTCTCCTTTGCATCAGCAGCTAGAATACAAACAATAAAATGCAGGGCATCACACATAAACCAACACTCTTTTTTTCATTTCTCACATAAGAAAATGTGACAGGAGAGAGTAGCAGGGGGAGAAGAGAGATTATTTATTGGTTAGGATGCACTATAAATTCTGATTTACGTTACTTAATTTAAGTATACATAAATTCTTCAGTACAACACACCTAAACCTCAACTTGTGGCCACTTGGAAGAGAAAACTATGAAGAAGATTCATAACCTTATATGAGTCTTTTATCTTCCTCTTATATGAGCTTAATAACATTTCTTCCAAGTGTTATTAAAAGCAGAATTACCTCAAGATTACTTTTTTTTTTTTAAATCCACTTTTGCTTTACTCATCTCTCTCTGTGTAGGAGAAGGGCCACACCATAGCATTTAAATCAAGGAAATCTCTATACTCAGGCTGTCAATCAGCTACGAGACAAGCTACCAGCTCCCCAGATACATTAGTACTTCTGCTGGAACTCTTCTATTTTCTGTTTAATTAAATCTCTCTTTAAACTTGTGTGTCATTTCAATGCAACTGAAAGACACAAGAATGAAAACCACAATTTCTACCATACATCTTCGAAAAACAGCCTTAAAAATTATTGAAAAGATTGTCTGCAGTCTATATCTGGTGGCTCCTGTGTAATATTAATAAGTATATTCAGGAAAAAGGTTTGGTTGGTTGCTTGGGGTTTTTTTAAACAAGACACTACTACAGTAATCCTAATTAAGAATACTAACACAGAGTAGATAATTTCAGTAAATATTTTCTCTTACTTCCTCTGCTATTAAGTATCTCAATAAAAATTATTGAGATCTCTCTAATTATTTTTATCTCAGCATAAAAATTATTTACTGATTTGAGTCAAATTCATATATCTCTAAATTAAAAGCAGCATATTGTAAGTATTTGATAATTTCAAGAGACTGGAAAAGCTTGATAACAAAACCACAAGCGTTCATGGTTTCTAGCTGTGCAAATTCCAAAACTTTTTAACAGAAATTCTGTTTGTTCTTGTGTTTCAGTTCTACATAAAAACCAGCAACACACCGTACCACAGTGAAGTCCTGCATACTCCGTCCTGCTAGCCAACTTATAAACTGTGGTCAGAATAAAACTAACATAATTTTAAACTTTTGTTACACTGTATTACATGTCACTTAATCTTTATATCACTTGTTTTTTTATAAACTAGTTTGATATTAAAGTATGTAGATCAATCAACCATACTGAAAACACCTTAGAATCAGAATCTTGTATAAAAAAAATAAAATAACTTATTCCAAAGTAACTCTCACATACCCTATATTGCCCTTCTTACATTTGGGAGCAAGGGAAGGCAAAATTTTAAGTTAAAGATGCATTCAATTATTCCAAGATTGACATTTTTCCCTTCTCTGCTCCATCGGCGCATTAACTACTGCACATCATCTGCAGGACGGTGGCAGGGGAGAACAACATTAGAAATGAAATGCTATGCTGTGGCCAGCAATGAAAGCAGCTTTTTCTTCCTTCATAAGCAAACAACATACACTGTACAATCAAAATTAAACAGTAACAGCTTAGAGAAGTCATCTTGAGGTATCTTCCAGCCCTGAAAGTCTACATATTGTAAATTCACACATATTTAACTGCACATTAGTGCTCCACTGTGTTTTATAATATAGTATGTAACAATATAGCTGTATAACTGCTATTTTCTGACAGTATAAGGAAGTAAAAGACAAATGAGACATGAGAGAAGATGCACAG